GGCTGCGGACGCCCCGGCTCTCCGGCCCCGCCGCCTCCCCTGCGCCCGCTTCCCTCCCGGTTTGTGATCTTTTGCTGCCCTCTCGAACGCTGACAATAGATCACTGATATTTTTCTTGTATTTTCTACATGGCCGAGCTCTGCTTTCTTTGCTCCCTCCACTCCTTTTTCAGCAGATCAAGGTCCCTTCTGTAGAAACCACTGAACAATCCCTTCTCTCAGCCCTTCTTCCTAAATTTCCTAAATTGAGGCCCCATCTGCACTTCGGTACTCTTCACATCCCAGCAAAAGTGGGGAAAGTGACTTCGCAGTACCACTAGACACATCTGAAGTTTGTCTTCTTGTTGATCCATCCACAGGCATCCCTGTTCAGTCTGGTGGACTGTTTTTCCTTAGATGCTCACTTTTATTCTCTTGTCACTTGTAGAAAAGTGAAAGGGTAGCTGTGCTCATAATGGGACTGTTCTTTCTGTAGCCCATACTGATCGCCTATCTTTGTCACATTAGCTGGCAGACAAGCCAGAACTTGCAGAGTTTGTAGAGCTCTGTCTGTACAAATGTTCAGGGAGTTTCAATGTAGTGAAATATGACTGTACAGGTATCGTCCCCAGATTCATGAGTAGTAAATACCCGCAACATTACAAGTATTTCAAGTGTAAGAAACAATACTGTTTGAGATCTCCAGGATTCCACCTCTTACAAAAACAGTACTGAAATCCCCAAGCATAAATCCAGTGTAAAAGGCCCTTCCTTATCTGAATGGCTCTGTCTTCGCAAAGGAAAACAATAAATATATATGCCTGCTAGTTCAAACCATAACTTCAGTTCTGCAGCTTACTGTGCGTTTTTGTTCAAAGCCGTCCTCTGGGTTTGGAGTCCATTAGTCTGCCCAGTGTAGAATATTTACTGCTTTTATTGCTCAGGAACAGAGTAGCTACACAACTTGTAGCCCAGTAGAAGTGGTGCTCCCAGGATTGCCACAGGATGACATGTATAGTTACAGTTGTACTGAGCTGTTTGGCTATGCCCTTAAGGAGCACTGCTTGCTCTCTCTTGAGTTGAGATTCTTAGCCTCACTAAAGTTGGTCTATTAGACTGTTAAATGTGTTTCTTATATTAGAAATGTGAACACTTGCTTTGGTGATTTTTCTCTTAGCTGGATAGTTTCCTTGGCAGCTGCTGTTGGTTTTTAATAGAGAGTGGCATGGAATTACTTGGAGCTAATGCTAATTTTTCCCTGGTGACATTACTGTTAACTTTGTCAGATACTTTTCATACATGCTCACCTTTCTACAGGTGAAATGAGATTCTGGTACTGTTCATGATTACATTCTCACCTCATTACACTGTGCAAAGAATTGATCTGTCTATGACTTCTGCTGCCCCAAGGGAAATTAGAATTTGGGCTGGTCATAAGGAAATGCTGGAAGCTACTTCAGCTGGTGACAGAAAAGTGTTAAATCCTATATACATCTTTAGGGATAAAGGAAGCAGCAGCCTGTGTTAGAGTTGGAGACATTTTTCACTTTAAAAAAAATGATTCTGGGAATCAAATCCAAAGAATGGAGGAATTTTCTGCTGCTAGCTGAGAGACTTATTAAATTTAATTAATTAATTTTATGGTACTGGGAGTTGAATGCAGGGCCTTTGCACTGAGCTACATTCCCAGCCCTTTATTTTTGTTTTGAGACAAAGTCTCACCAAGTCACTTAGTTGCCCAGGATAGTCTTGAACTTGCAATCCTCCTGCCTTAGCTGCCCAGAGCTCTGGGATTATGAAACCTATTTTAATCCTAACCCTGTTTAGATAGAAACTTATTTTCTTTTCCTTCTTCCCTTTCTTCCTTTTCCCTGGAGCTTGAGGAATTTCACTTGCCCATTTTGTTTAGGAGGAATCAAAGATTATCACTTTCTTTCAATTGACATTTATGATTGGATAGATAAGAAAAAATAGGAATAGCTGCCTTCTATGTACACTTATGATGTGGAGATTACTCATTTATTCCATTTTTAAAAAATTAGATAAAATTTATTCACTGCATTTGGGGACAACTCCAGTAGCCTTTCATTTTGTGACCAGGAAAGAAAGGAAACAATAGGTCAAGGGATACGGTTTTTAATCCTTTCTGAATGAATTAAATGTGCAATCACACTTTTATCTCAGATTTAAATGTTGAGTGCTGTGTACTGCTTATCAATATTTTCTCAAGAAGTTGCCATATTCAGAACTTTGCTATGGAAATTCTGATGATGTCTAAAACTTCTGTTGCTCTTCATAGTAGCTGTCTTTACACTGCTGATCACACAGTAATTAATCCTCTGTTAGAAGATGCTGAGTAATGATGGAACATTTTAAAAAGCCCCCAAATAGATAGGGTACAAAGTAAAGGTGTACACTGAATTACTAGAACTTCTTACATTAAAAAAAAAAAGTTTTGTAGCATGTACCTGACCTTAACTGTTGTTAAGACTCTATAAGTATCACTTTCTAAAAGCAGGAGAGTGATCTTATGCATTTATTGTGATAGCTTGGAAAGTTTCTTATGTGATTCTGTCCTTTTTTTTTTTTTTTTTTTTTTTTTTTGGTTTTTTGAGACAGGGTCTCACTATGTAGTTGAGACTGACCTGGAACTCATTATGTAGCCCAGGCTGGTCTCAAACTCACAGCAGTCCTCCTGCCTCAGCCTCCCAAGAGTGCTGGAATTACAGACATGCACCACCGCAGCCGGCTCTCTGTCGTTCTGTTCATAAATCTTAATTGGCACTCGGGCATACTAAGTGAACTCTAATTCCTTATTCTGTCTTTTTGTTTTTGGTACTGGGGATCCAACTCGGGTCCTTGTGCTTGTGAGGCAGGCGTCAGAACCATTGAGCTAAATCCCTGGCCTCTAATTCCTTATTCTAACACCCAAGGCTTGCCAAGTTCTGCTTCCAATTTGTCTTTCCAGTACTATTAGTCTATAGTGCATTAACGGAGTATTCTCTTTTATATAGCTGGAGGAAAAGTGCTCATTTAGCGAATAGATAAAGATTTCACTATAGACAGAAAGGTTTCATTACATAGAATCGTCTGGATTTAACAAACTCAAACTGCCTGTGTACTCTGTTCTTATCAGCAGAAGTGTTTGCCTGTCTCTCCTTACCTGTCACGTACTTATCCACCCCTTTGAGTTGAGCTCAGGTGCTGCTTTTATTACAAACCCATTCTTTATCCTGCTGTGAGGATTCATTTTCTATACCTCTTTGATCTCACAGCCCTTCCTTTGAGCCTCCATTTTATTCTGCCTCACACTACTGTCTATAAGTCTGTCTCTCATGATGGGGGGTTGCTTAACTTTGGACTCATTTTGTTTTTTTCATAGCACCAGGAAATTCCTAAATAAAGATATCGCTGTTTTCAATAGGATCAAGAATAACCTGTAATCTCTGAAGTTCAGTATTCCTTGTCTGAAATGCTTGCGAACAGAAGTATTTCGTATTTGTTTTTTTTATTATTATTATTTGGATTAGTTGCATAGACTTGACAAACTGAGCATTCACAGTCCATTAAGGCCATGTATTTCAGAATTTTGGATTAGGAAAGCTCTACCTGTATTACTTTGTTTTGACCAGGATAGAGTAAGAGGAAATTCAAGTTACTTTTTCTATAATCTTGTTGTTTGAGATGGTAGGGTTTATTTTCAACAAATGAAATGTAACAGGGATAAGGAAAGAGTTGGGAATGCTCATTTTTTCTTAGTAGATTTTGGTTGGTTGGTCTTTTCTTGAAATCCTGGTTCTTGGTGTCTCAATTTCTGAACATTGATATCTTCCTTTTAAGAGCAAGATATTTTTAAATTTTTTATTTGGAAATAATTGCAGCTTTACAGAAAATCACAGGAAAATGTACAGATCCTATATAGGACCAAGATTTTTCCCTAGTTGTATGGTCAAATTTATTTATCTAGAGAGACTAGAACTCCTGATCCTATCTTTCCATAAAGGCCTGACATTGCTTTTTTTTTTTCATTTTTTATTTTTTTGTCTAGATAGGTATTGGAAATACCGACTTGACTTGGTGCTGGGAGCATAAAATGTATCACTGTGGTCCAAGAAAGCCCACCAATGTGATTCAAGGATACTATAATATAGTGAAAAGAATGCAGACTTGATGTTTGAAGAGCCTAGATTCTGGACTGCACTCAACTGCATAATAGTTTGATTCCTGAAATCCAGTTTTATTTTTCTGATTAGTTATTTGAAATATAGGTAGTAAAGCAATTTGGAAACTAAAGCCCTGGGTTATTATTATTAAGACCTTTTTTGCAGCAATATTATTCTTAATAGTAATTAATATCATTATTAAGACCTTTTTTCCCAAGCAAAAAGTTTTAAGAAACTCCTTTAGTGGTTGTGATTCCTAAGATAAAAATGACTCCTTTGAGTTGGACAACAGGAGCAGAAGAATTTTGATAAAAAGTTTTTGTCAGAAAATTTTGTGCAAAAATACATTCAAATCATCTGGAAAACCTGGGGGTACAGCAAGAAAGGTGGGGTGCCTTCTCTCATACAGCACTCTAGCTTCTGATTATCTTGGATGTGTCAGACTAGAGCTCAAAGATTTGGAGTATTTGGTCCTTGCGACTCTTGTCACAGTTGTGCCGGGTGTGTGACAGGGAGTGCCCCACTTCCACTGTGTGTTTAGCGTGGGAGTCCTGCCTCCCTTTGCAAGGGGGATTTCAGAAAATCCCTGAATTGTAGATTCACACGGCTGAAGGGTCTAAGAGAAAAGATGAGTGAGATCATCATCACGGTTTGTGGAGCACCTTCTGTACCTGCTAAGTGCTTTAGTCTCTGAATCTCACTGAATACGCCAGAGCCCTATGAGGTAGGTCCTGTGGTTACCCGGTCTCACTGGAGCTTCAGTGGTTAAGTAGATGTCCCAGGACCCCGTAAATACTAGATGACATCATTTCTCCATTCAGATCTGTCTGGGACCAAGGCCTCTTTTCTTTATACTACGGTAAGTCCCTTTGTCTGCATACTTAGGAAGTAGAGGTCTTGAGAGGGTAAGACCCACCATCACTCTACTTCCCACTGTTAGTCTAGAATCTTTTCCTGCATTATATCCTCTTAATTATCTGTTTATTCCTATGCATTTTCTCAAGTATTTGTGGCCTGTGTACATTTTACTAAGGTGTTCAATTGATAAGTATGTTACTAGATTTTGAAGCTTTTAAGTTAGAAGGACATTTAGGTTTTTTTAAATGGAATTATTAATGGCTTGATTTTTTTTTAGTGAAGCATTTTCTACCAGACTCCTATAAAGAGACAACGTCTTCCATGCGCTATTAAAAGTTGAGCCTTGTGACTACTGTCTGACTATTTTTTTTCTTTTAGAGAAGTCAGAGGGTGCAGTATGTGACCTCATGTAAAAATAGCCACCAAGGATCTATCCAGCATCATTTTTAGTTCTTTAATTTTGGTTGAGCCCACATTTTAAAAACAGATTGAATTTGTCTGATTTGTTTCAGAAGTATATATTACAAAGCATTCACGGGCAAGTGGGAATTCAGCTGCAGAGCAGAGCTAGAGAATTTTTACAGAGTGGCCCTTCAGGTGGTAAGCATTTTTCCTGGAAATTTTGGTTATTGTATTTTCAGAAACATTTTTCCATTGTTTTCCTTGCTACTAAGAATATAATAATTTTATGTATACATATATATATATATATAAAACTTTTGACATTTGATTAACATATTACTAAAACTGCTTTTTAAAAAACATTTTTAAGAGAGAAAGAAGATACACTGGTAAGTTTAGAAGGATTCTACCATTTTCTTCTTTACCCCTGAAGAGGCTTGAAAATTAATGGATAATATTTCACATGAAATTTTTTGAATGTATTTTCTTCTTATCTGTGAGACCTTCTGTAGAGAATTAGTAGGAGGTTGAATGCATGTGTAGATAAAATAGATTATCTTAAAGGATTGCAGTTCCAAAAATATATCAGCAGGACTGGACATGTTTGTTATAATGAGATGTCTATTTTAGCCTGACTTCTGGAACTCTGAGTAAACTATAAACTGAGCTGCACAAGGTCTGAAGAAGGAAGTTTATCTTCTAAAACATTCTAGTTGCATATAACATTTTCTCCTTCAGATCCTTTTGAAAAAAATAACTTTATTCATCAGTTTCCTGAGGAGTAAGACTACTAGATATTTGCCAACTTTTAATATATGAAGTGAGATGCAAAGCAATAATCTATATCATACCGAAAAACAGGTTTAAAGAAACAGACATTTGGCAGCAAGAAGAGAGATCTCTGCATCATCGCTAGTTGACATGGCGGAAGCTGCTGGGGTTGCCTCAACTCTGCCCGTAACAGGGAAGAAAAAGAAGAGTCTGTCCATTGAGGAAAAGATCGACATCATAAATGCAGTGGAAAGTGGCAAGAAAAAAGCAGAAATTGCAGCTGAATATGGGATAAAGAAAAATTCATTGTCTTCGATTATGAAAAATAAAGACAAAGTTCTAGAAGCTTTTGAATCTCTGAGGTTTGATCCAAAAAGAAAAAGACTAAGGACTGCTTTTTATACAGATCTGGAAGAGGCATTAATGCGGTGGTATCGAATTGCTCAGTGTCTAAATGTACCAGTTAATGGTCCAATGTTGCGTCTAAAAGCTAATGATTTTGCCCAGAAACTGGGACATAATGATTTTAAGTGCAGTAATGGTTGGCTGGATCGTTTTAAATCTAGGTATGGCTTAGTATTCAGAGCTCAACCTACAGAAGCCTCAGGTATACCAGTAGATCCTTCAACTGTCTGGTCTCAAAATGTGCTTCCTTATTATTTAAATGATTATCATCCTAAAAATGTTTTTAACGTAAAAGAGACAGCACTGCTTTATAGAATGTTACCTACAAATACATTTGCTTTTAAAGGAGAAACATGTTCAGTTGGAAAGTTATGCAAAGACAGGATAACTTTGGTTGTCGGTGCAAACATGGACGGTTCAGAGAAACTTCCCTTGCTTATCATTGGAAAAAACAGAAATCCACATTGTTTCAAAGGTATAAAATCATTGCCTGTGTATTATGAAGCCAACAGAATGGCATGGATGACCTCAGATATATTTGAACAATGGATGCAGAAGCTTGATGAAAAGTTTCAAGCCCAGCAACGAAGAGTAGTGATTTTTGTTGATTCTTTTCCTGCACATCCAGAGGTCAAGAACCTAAAATCCATTGAGTTAGCATTCTTTCCGTCATGTTTATCTTCTGAAATTATAGCTATGAAGCAAGGTGTTATTAAAAGCCTTAAAATTAAATATCGACACTGTCTTATCAAGAAATTTTTAAACTCGGTTGAAAGTAGCAAAGAATTTACATTTTCCCTGCTAGATGCTGTTGACACATTGCATCTCTGTTGGAGGTCTGTAACCACAGAGACTATTGTTAGAAGCTATGAAGAGGCAGGATTTAAATCTCAAAAGGAAGAACATGACACAACAGATGGACAGAGTGAAGGTGGGCTTGATCTGGTTGCCCATGCTCTGGGGACAGGAGTGGAATTTCCTGAAGGTTTGTCTATAGAGGAGTACGCTGCCCTGGACGAGGACCTGGAGACCTGTGAAGCAGGGGCAGATGACAGCTCAGAGTGCACGCGGGAAAGCAAACCAGATGAGCCTGCATTTTATACTTCCGATGAGGATGAGGATGGTGGCACTCTAGAAACTGCGCTGCCTTTACCATCAAAAAGTGAAGCAATAATTGCTTTAGACACTCTTAAAAAATTTCTTAGAAGTCACGATATGAATGATGAACTTCAGGATTCTTTAGCAGACCTTGAAAATTTTATTAACTCTTTATCACCTAAATAGTTATTTATTGTACAACATCTGAAGAGTAGTTGCTTTTCTGAATGTATTTTATTAAATAAGGTATGTAAAGGAGAAATAACCACTTAAAGATTAAAAAGGTGAAAAACTCATTATCTTTGGTTGAATTGCAAAACCTTTGGTTTGAATAGCAAAGCTCCCTGGTAAATAATGACTAAGTACATAAAACTACAAAATTCTATAGCAACATTTGGGAGAGCAGGAAATGTATTTTAGAAGCTTTGTACTTGACATATATATAGTGCATGTGTCAACTATAAAAAAACCCTTCAGTTATCTGCTTCACACATATTTGAATTGGTGACTGCTCCGTGTTTTTTAAAATTCAAATCTTCTAGAATACTTTGCCTAGTATCTAAGAAATAAAATATCAGTGGCTTAGATATTTTATAAAGATATATATGCCATATGTATTCTGAGCAGACTTTTAAGTATCAAAAATAGTTTTAAATTATTTTCCTTATAATTAAACTTCCTAAAAAGAGACTATGAAAGGCTGCTAAAACAAAGTGCAGTGGTGCACTGAAAATAAATTCTCACCTTGCTATACACCAAAATGATTAAAAATATGTCTTACTACTTTCGCATTATTTGTATAAAAGGTCAAATTGAAAATTTATCTGTAGCCAGAAGATACGGATTTTTCTTAAATATATGTGTATGTGTATTTAATAGAAAATGCTTTCTGGAAACATTTATTATACTCATGTGATATTTATATTTGAATAAGGTTATTCTTAGAAGTTGATGTAAAGATACATGTGTAATGTACTAAAAAAGGAAATATGTGATGCTTAGATATTTTTCTAATTTTAACAGCTTAGTGTTTTAATCTATAATTTTAGTAATTTTCTTGATTTACGGAATTTTATTTTCAGAAAAAATAAAATATATCAGCACATTTTGATGTATTAAATCTCCTTCCTTCCAAATTTAGTGGATAACATTTTGGATTAAAATTCTGCTTAAGGAAGTTTTATCTATGGAATGCTTTTTAAAAATTTGTGTGAAATTACTTAACCTCTTAATATAACATTTAAACAGTAAAAAATGATAATGCACATACTTTTCCCTTGTTAAACTTTAAATACTATGCTTATTTATTACAGCTAATTAGGGTCCCGTTTGTAAAGTATTTTATTTTTTGCCCATTAAGTTTATTGGCACATTTAAGGTATATAATACAGTTATGTTCATCATTGGGATCTTGTACCTTTACATGATATGTCTTGGTTCTTATTTTTTCCCCAGACCTCTGCCCTTCCTTCACCCGTTTCACCCTTCCTTATTTACAGACTTTATTTCCATTTTTTCCTTTTGTAAAGTATTTTATAAAAATATTAAATACACAGATAATTTTTATTATGAATTGTTAATCTGCAAATAAATGACACCCATTTGGAAGAAAATAGTTACCGAAAACATTTTTATTTTCCACTATCAATTTATTTTTGTCAATTTTCTGCTTTTGAGATTTACTAAGAGTAAGGCTTTTATAATAATATTAATGGAGTCTTTAAAAGTGAAATATACATTGTTTACATTAAAAGCATGTTTAATGATTTGATTTTGAATTTTATTTGGTGGGATCATGGATCTAAAGGAGTTCTTAAGAATATCTATCACTTATAACTACAATACCTCACCTATTATGAGCCTTTGATGATTTTTTTCTTTCTCCATGTGATGCTCTTTTTGCCCTTTTGAGATTCTAGATATTCTGTGATACAAGAATTATCTCCATATTTGCAGATGAGGACATTAAAACTTGAAAAGATGAAATGATGCGCTTTAAATCTCGGAGTCAACACTCATTGCAGTAGTTCCCCACCGTGGGGTCCCGCATTCCTCTGACCATGTACCACTCATCTACACCATTAAAGGAAAATTCTCTTTTCCTTGAGTTTAGGGGATGGCAGGCAAAGTATTTCAGAGGATGTAGTGGGCCCCTTGAGAGCTTGCCTTGTACTCACTAAGGAGGTGCTGAGATCCCTTCTGCTTTGGTACCGGTATCCCACTCTTACAGAGGCTCTGTGGTAGTTCTTTCGAAACTGTCTAAAACAACTTTCATATTTCTGAAGTGTTGAAAGCACTCATTCTTTTTTCCTCCAAATGACATGATCAATTTCTTACTGTAAATATCTCCGAGCCATAATAAACTTAACAGATGATAAAGTTAGACAAAATTACATAAAATTTGAAGGAAAAATGCCTGCAGATTTAAATGCAAAGATATACTTTAAGTTGTTAATGTTGTACACTTCCCTGTGTGTTTTATAGATCATATAGATTTAAATGAGTTTTGGAACAAAATTTTAGAAATGAGTGTTTCCCAGGACATGAACAATCACTGCTGCATACCTCCTAATTTATCTTCTCTGTACACAGTTGATACAAAATCAGAAATAAATGTCATTTGTCTTTAAAAAAAAAACATGAATTATAGTTTGCTTGGTTTTAAATTAAATGTGATATTATCTTCATCTTTAATGCCTTATAAGATTCGACTGTTTCAACAATGTTTTTGCTTCTTTCTGCTTCATCAAGAGCAAGTCTTACATTGAATTGAGGACATTGTTTCACAACCTGTGGCTACAGAACTACTAGTGAAATTTCAGGACAAATGAGGACAATGAGTAAACCTAGGCCTGTAGGTCTCCTGTTGTCTGTCTGGCTTCTCACTTAGACCTGATCTCAAATCTCAGACATTCCGTTCACTGTATACATGGCAGATTAATTGGAAGGAGGGAGAGAAGGCCAGGGACACTTGAAGCAAATGTTTCAGATGTTAAGAGAAGCCCTGTCGTGGTCAGTACAGGGTCTCCAGCTCTGGGGACTGCTGCAGAGAGATTTGCCCACCCAGCAGTTTCCCAGTCCAACGTTGGGCTGGGTCTCAGGCCCCAAGAGCTGCCTGAGTTTGGCACAGCACAGTAGGGGTAAGTCAGCCAGGAAGTTATGTTAGTTGCGGAGAGAAGAGCCCAGCAACCTAAAAGCCTATGTTGGAGGCCATGGTATTTATATAAATTCTCAGAAAAGGTTTCATTCAAGTGATTACATTAAACCTAGCCCTGATTTTATACTTCCTTACTGGAAGGCACCCACTTTTCTAAATCTCAGTTTCCTCCATTCATAAAATGAGATGGATACTTCATTTGTATTTATTTTGAGATGAAAGGAAATTTGGCCCATGTATGCATTTAGCAAACTTTGAAGTTTTCCACGACTATAAGGAATGACTAGAAGGGTTACTACTTCAAGTTACTACTTCAGAATATGTCCACGTAGTTGCTAAACGTTAATAACTTCTCTTTTGATGTTGAAGATTGAACCCAGGGCCTCATAAAAGTGTTACCCCTGAACTATGCCCCTAGCCCTAGCAATACTTTTACTGCCATTCTTCTGTGCAATAAAATAGTGAAGCTATATGCAATTTACTTGTACAGTTCAAAGTTTCATTTTGGATAAAGAAATGGTGATTCTAGAAACTTTTATTTTTCCTGAGCCAATCCTTATGCAAAGCCATATGATTAAAAAAAAAAAAAAACCACTCATCACAGAGTAGCCCTTTCTGTTGCCACATTAGCTGATTCAAATTTGTTCTGTTGTGGTTGCTGTAATTAATTTGTAAAATCTACAGTAACCGAGAGCCTGAGGGCACACTAAGTATTACTGTATTAGTCTGTGCAGACTGCCATAACACAATACTAACACAGGGCGGCCGGAACACAGAAATGCCTTTCCTCGCGTTTCTGGAGGGGAGAAGGTACCCACATCGTAGTGATCAATGAGGACTCTCTCCTTGGGTTGCAAACCTAACCACTCACTCTTTGTGAGTAGGGAGGAAAAATAGTCTCTGATGTCTCTTCTTGTGAAGGTAGCATTGTCATTATGGGACCCCCAAATAACCCAATTAAAGCTCCCCACTTCAAATCTGATCATACTGGGGTTCAGGGCTTCCACATATGAATGGGGGGGGCACACTTAAGTCCAACAGCTACCTAGTACATATTCACATATTTACTTAGTTTTGCAGTTGCTAGAAACCGAAAGAGAATCCATACTCCAGAACTTGCACATCAGTTTTAACCATCAACAGGAACTTTAAGATTTAGGAAATAATACCCCTTGAAAAAAACATTATTTCATGTCCTTGAATAAATGAGAGGGCTCAACACTGAAATATGTCAGTTTCCCCTAAACTAATCCCAGTGCAGTTTTACTAAAAACTTTGCAACATAATTCTGATGCCATGTAGAAAAATAAATGTGTATCAATAACTGAAAAAAGTTTGAAAATGATAACATTTGACTTACTCATAGGCAAAACAATAGTGTGGGTAGGAGAATTACAGCTGACAGGTATTAATAATGCCAAACATTGTTCAAAGTATTTTTGTACGTATTACCTTTTTGAATCTTCAGAATCCAATTCCCAACAATTAGGCTCGTGTTACTGATGAGAAAAGTTAAGAATGCGTATACAGTTAATGTACAACAGAACTAGGATTCAAACCCAGAAAATCTGACTTAATTTTTATACATGACATGAATCTAGCCTACAAAAAGGTTAAGGATATGTATTGCAGTATATACAGTCCTATAGTCCAATATCCCAAATCCTGGCAGTATATGTTTCAGAATTCAGAGTTTCTCAGATTTGAACTGGAGATGCAGCTTAGCAGTTAAGCACTTGCTTCACATAGGAGAACCTGGGTTCATTCTCCAGCACTGAAAATAATTGAAAAAAATTAATATGTGGATCTACATTATATTACATCCCAAGGGAGTGCTGGGACATCATCCATAATGCAAATAATTTTGTGGTGAAACATTAAAAACATTCACAGAAAGGTCAAATATGTAAAGGTTATAAATAGCTTAATAGTTTCATAGGTTTTATTGCCAAATAAACAGCTCAGCTTTTACCATCAAATGGGTTACCAAAGCAAAAAAATGCTTTCAGAGCCTTTTAATTTCAGAACTGCTACATTAGCATAAAGCAAAAAGAAATTATGTTTATAGCCGAGCATGATAGCAGTATGGAAGGTGAGGCAGGAGGATCAGTGGGAGTTCAAGGCCAGCCTGAATTACAAAGCAAGACCATATCTCAAAGAGAAAAAAAAGTTTCCAATAGAAAATCGAATATACATATATATAATACACACACACACATATGGCTCAAATTGTGTGTGTATATGCACACTGGGGATTGAACCCAGGGCCTCATGCATGGTAAGCGTGTATTCTACCACTGAGCTCCCACTTCCCACCTTCTACCACCTAAGATCAATTTTTTTTA